ATCACTAAATACCAAAAATATTTTTTTAAAAAAATACAAAAATTCAACACATTTTCGTATTCTTGTATATTTATTAATTTTTTAAAATATTATTTTAATAAATATTTTACTTTTTTAGCTACATTTAGGCTATGTGCATCTAAAATGTAAAAAATTTACTTAAAATATTAAAAAAATTCACTAAAAATAAAAAAAATAAAAAAAACTTAATTTTCAGAAAATTGAATTATGAAAATTGGAACCAAACCTAGATGAATCTAAAAAATATTAGTGATTTTTTTTTTTTAATTCATCTTGTTTAGACGAATCTAAAAAAAAAAAAAAAAAAAAAAAAAATTTTTAAGTTTTTAAAAAAAAAAACCCAAAAAAAACCAAAAAAATAACCTTTTTTGGGTTTTTTTTTTTCTGGACTTTTTTAGAACTTTATAAAAAAAAAAAAAAGTGTTCGGTTAGGTGTTCCAAACACATATTCACCCATTGATTTCAGTGTGGTGTTTGTTTTGAACTTTCAAATTATAATTTCACACCCACTTTTGAAAACTGCTTTTGAGGCGAAAAAATTTGGTTAACTCGGACGTCCGGTCGGTTCACCAGAACATTTTTTTTTCGCACATGTTATTTTTATATTGTAAATAAAATATATTTTCAAAATTTTTTTAATTTTTATATGAGCTTTGAGTAGAATTTTTAGTTGTGTGTTTAGTTATAAATTGTAAGTTTTTGAATCAAATAACTTTTCTAATTTCAAAAACTCAAAACTCCTTCCAAAACTCAATTCAAACTAATATGTGTTTGGGAGGGGAAGGATTGGTTTATTCTTTCTTCCATATTTCGGATCTTAGCTCCATGGAACAATACGATACTGCTGAAACATGGAAGAATTGAAATCTTAGATCAAAACACTACATATGGATGGTATGAATTGCCTAAACAAGAATTCTTGAACAGCAAACAACCAATTTAGATATTCACGACCAAGAAGTATCGGATTCTCTTTCGGATAGGCTCTAAAAGGAGAAGGAAGGCTGGAATGCCAACAGGCATCTATTACTGAATTCACCCCACCCAAAAGTACCCATTTGGGGAACGTCCAATGCCAAAGTCACTGAATGGGCAAGTCGCCAATCCCTAAAATGGACTATGTAATGTACTTTATATGCTGGGTTATGAGTAGTCATTTTACCAGAGGTTTCTAATCTACCATTGTATGATTCCTATTGAAGCATATACTCGGGGTGGGTGCAGGGTAGACAGTTTTAAAGAAAACTCCCCATTCATTAGATAGAGAAGATCACCAAGATTTCGTGATCTGCTGCTGAACTTATTCCAATTCCAAGAGCTCGGACAAATCGGTATTGACACCAAGGTAACATTTCATCTTACCAAAGAAACCATATAACAGTGTAGCTACTTATTGGCTACTAAGGCAACATTCTAGTTAATGGTCCTTTCAAACCATAAGTTAAGGCAGTTTAAGCAACACCAGACCATCTGTTAAGCCAGCTAAAAATTAGGACATTATATTTGTGCAAAATCCTTCCAAGTAAATTATATATCAGGCGAGCTAGCTTCAGGAATAAAATATTTATGGAAACAGACCATCGCACTCAATAGTCTGTTAAGAAGAAATGTCACAACAGAATATCTTGAGTGTGTAACAACAATTAATTCAACTCATACAGGCGAGTAGTTTCAAGTATAGAAATAAGAACTCGCAAGCATTTCACTTAAGCCTTCCTTGGAAAATCCACGGTAACCAAAAGGAATCCCAACAATCTTTTTCACACCATATATTTCTAGAGTGATGACAATCTGCACCCATTACCAAACAAAAATGAAAGATGACAATCTGCAAGTAAAGAAACAGAATTCCTACATTAACACTAAGTTCAAAAAGGAATCCTTTAGAGTTGCAAATTATCTACTACACATCATGGGAAAGTTGGACACCAATCTAACAGAAAAGCCTTACCAAGCAATACATCTGTGCAAGCTAAAGAGTGCATTTCACAAATAAATAGTTAAAAATTCAATTGCAATGCTACAATGGTTCCACAGAGTATTAGATGTTGAATATGATGACTCTCTTAAAAGACAACTCAGGTATGATGTGGATAGAACTTTTAAGCAAAAGAGACATCCATATAATATGACCTGTCTGATGACATCATTAAGACCAGGGCAAAGTCCACCGTTTCATTGATACATTTTTTCATGTAGATTGTTTTAGAGAGTCATACAAGGAATCTGTTTATCCAGTGCCTTCAAGTGAGAGATTTGACTTTGATGGTGTCGGTAGTTCGATTATCAAACCTCTTATAACGAAGAAACAGCCCAGGCGGAACAAGAAGAAGAGGATACCTTCTAAGGGTGAGAATGTGAAGCAGATCAAGTATGAGAGGTGCTTGAAATATGGGAATCACAATAAGAAGACGTGCAAAGCTGCTATTTGAGGCCACAATCTATTCTTTTGGATTTGTATTTGAATTTGAGGAATTATGATAATAAAAAATGTAATACTTGGTATTATGGAAGTAATGAATAAAGTTGGTTGAATTGTTTTTTGTTTTTTGATGTGTTCTTTAGTTATTGAAGTTGTTTTGTAACAGTCTTGTTTTGTTTTTTTATTTTTATGGAATGCTGAGAAGGTTATTGAAAATTTCTTATTGAAACTGTATAATATTGAAATGCAGTTTTACTACATGATTCATTTATTTCATATTTCATAGTGATAAAACTGTAAAATTTTACAATTTTAAGAATTATTAGAAACAACCTGATGAAACTGCATAATTTTGCAGTTTTAAGAATTATTAGAAACAACCTGATGAAATTGCATAATTTTGCAGTTTTAAGAATTATTAGAAACAACCTAATGAAACTGTATAATTTTGCAGTTTCAAGAATTATTAGAAACAAGCTTTACTGTATAAAAATATATGCAACCACAAACAAGTACACAAACAATCAGAAGAATAACCACAATAATAATAACAAGAAGAAGAGCAATAACAACATCAATGACAACAATCATTTTCACCATAATAACTAGAAGAAGATCATTCCCATAACTATATAAAGTACTTGTCACATGTTAAAAAAAAAAAAAAAGTACAAAGATATGTTCACTTGCATATTTGTATTGTCAAGAAGTTTGTTCATTGTTTCTATGATTTGGTATGTTTTGTCAACATTTGGAAGTGCTCGAGTTTCCAAGATCGGTTCTCATCATTGAGGAATTGATTGATGATTTATGCTCGAAATTTGACCCACTCAGTTAGTCGAAGTGATTTCTGCACAGGTTGCCAGTTGATATATTGGTTGATAACATTGCAGACGGCGATTGCACAATCATTCCTGCAAAGTTTTAGATGAAGTTAATTAGTTAGGTAAAACTACAAAATTTAGCATATTGGAAGATTAGTTTATTGATTTTGTATCTTACGAGTGTGGGGTTTGTTGTGGGCATTCCTCAATTGATGCAATTACTGCCTCGCACGCTTGAGATGATAACATGTTTCCTTGATTGCTGAGTAATGCTTTATTCCATCTCAGTTGATGTTGTTGCTACAAAATAGTTAGTGGGTGTTTTTGTTAGTTATAGTGATGAGTTGAGATGTTTTTAAAGGAATGGAAAGTAGGAAATTTTATTTAACTTACAATTTCCTTTGCAATTTCAAAGTGCTTGTTGTGGTAATCTTTTGCTGGTCTCAAAAAGTCATAGTGTCTCCATATCCCATCAGCATTGTCAAAGACCACAATTGCCCAATGATTGTCGTGGTTGATTGGGAAATGGATATATCTATTTTTCATTGCTTCTGGAAAATGGTTGTCCATCATTTTTTATCTTAATGCTTGATCTTGGTTTTGTAGTGGAGTTTGTAAGTTATATATATGTTTGAAATATGTTATAAAACTGTGGTAAGACATATTAAGAAAGTAGAAAATTTTGCAGTTTGAATAATATTGAAAGGTATGTTAAGTTTTGCTTACATTGATGAGTGTTGAGAAAACGTAAGATCTTCCCGCATATGAATTTCTTGCAAAGGCTAGATCATTCTTCTTAAATTCTTCAATGGTTGGTTGGAGTGCCAATTTCTTTTCTGAGAAGGCATCAATGACTTGAAACATGTTATATATGAGAATATGTTAGGTTTGTGGAATAGGTTATTGAATATGTGTAAAATTGTGCAGTTGGAAACGTACATTCTCATATAAGGGTTCCCTGTTGGTCAATCTGCATATATCTGAAAAGTATACGCAATTTTCATTTTCGCTGCCAGACCAGACACAAGCACTTGATTGTGTGTTGTTGATGAGTTGAATTTGGTCTTGGTCTTTTTTGGATAGGCTATGCCAAACCTTGTTAGTTTTGTGGCATGAAATGACGAGTGGCTTGTTTTGGATTGATTCTTCCTTGAAATCATCATCACTTTCCAATACTTGAAGTTGTGTCTTCTCTTGATTGACATCCTCTTTTGGGTTGGTTTCAGCAGTAACTGCTTTCTATTGGCCAATATCTTCTTGCATCTTTTCTTTCTGCTGTTGTTTTGCTTCATGAGCATCCTCTTTTTGCTCGGGTTCAGTAGAAGGTTCTGTCTCTGCTTCGATTTCTTCTTTTTGAAGACTTATTTGTAGAGAATTTTTCTCAAAATTTTTTGAGAAACACAAACCAAACAAGGCGTTTGCCTCGAAACTATCTCATTCATGTGCATAATTGTCACGATTCCCTCTGGATTCACCACTCTCTCATTCACATGAACCTTCTCCTCCTTCTTCAATATTAACTAGTACCAGTACAATCTTCCCTCTAATTTCTCAGATTTGACAGCGTAGCACCATCAAATCTGTTTTTTCTGTCAAGGTTCGGCATCGCCGGAACATGGACGGCGTTGGTGATGGAACGATCAAGTTGGGGACTCTCAGCACCAGACCCGATCGCCGTTTCAATTTGGACCCGCCCGAAGTCTCTGTTTTGTCTCCTGTCACTCGTTAGAAAGCCGCCGTCACTAAACATTTCATCGAGAATCACTACAAGAACTACCTCCAAGGGTTACAGGATCGTAAAGAAAGGTCTAATTCACTTCTCTCTCTCTCTCTCTATATATATATATATGTATAAGTGTTTGTTGTGTTGTTGATGTTTATGGAGATGTGTTTGTTTGGATTAGGCGGCGAGAAATGCAGAGGAAAGCGCAAGAAGCGAAGGTGTCGAGTGAAGAAGAAGAGGAGATGATGAGGGAATTGGAACACAAAGAGACGGAGTTGATGAGATTGCAGAGGCACAAAATGGGAATTGATGACTTTGAGCAATTGATTGCGATTGGTAAAGGTGCGTTTGTTGAGGTATGTATTTATGTACCTTTACATCATCATTGTAGTCAATGGTGAATTGCATTTTGTTGAATTGTCATGAAGTATAATGCAATGCTTAATGAAATTTAATAGTAGCCTCACTAATTATATGTTTTCTATTTTTCACATGATTTTTGATTAATTATGTTCTTAGTGGATGTGATGATTCAGAATTTTACCTACTCTTCATAGTCGAGGTGGCACAAGCTGCCTCGTACACCTAAGTTGTCAATATATATACATATATATATATATACATTCTCGAATGGCAATTTGTTAGACATGAGTTTAATTTGTTTGCCTGAACGTAACACTAGCAATGAAGTTTCTGAAATCAGAGCATTTGGTTTAATTCCTCAAAAAATGACTCGAGCATTTATTGGAATTTTTATGTCTTTTATTTTTCCTTAAGAAAGTATTTTTGTTAGTCCCTCGTTTTCAATATTTATCTAAGAACTCAATTTGGGGCATGTTCACCCTGTTCACATCTGAAGCTCCTTGATTTAGTTTTAGACTTTAGTATTGACTGAATCACTATCTCGTTGTTATTTCTTGATTTGAACAATGGTTTGCTTTGCTTGTGGACTTTACTTGAGTTTTTCTTTCTTTGTTGTTCTTTTTCTTGCTCTCAATTTGAACAATGATTTGCTTTCTCTCCTATTGATTAAGTGAAGGTGGTTACGGTCGCATCTTTTATAGGTGATTTGCCTTATGATCCGACTAAGTAATGCAGGTTTGGCTATGCCGTGCCAAAAGTACAGGAGAGATTTTTGCAATGAAGAAATTGAAGAAATCAGATATGCTTAGCCGTGGACAGGTGACAACTTGCAATTAAAGCAAAATTAACTTTCCCTTGTAGTATTATTGAAGCCTTTTTTAGTATCTTTGTTCAGGCTTTATGTCTTCCATTATATTTTTAAAGATTGAGATTGGTTACTATAAAGAACATGACAAAATATGAGAGAGCTAGAGAGAGAGAGAAATACACATTTGTGTATAGTTAAAAAGGTCATAACATCTTGGTATAACTTAGGAGAGGTGAATATCCATGCTAACTGCCCAATTCACATATGCTTTCATTTTCATTTCAGCAATATAAATTATCCAGGATTTCTGCCTTTTTTTTTCCTTCTTTTTCCCATCCCCTGAATGTCACTTTCGAGACAACCAAATAACAAGAAAATAAACTGGATATTTGTTCAAAGATATTCAAATGCATTATAGAAAGCAATTCTCGTGGTTTTTACCCATTTCTTTGAAAGAAAAAGAAAAAATAAAATGAATAGAATTTTCAATTGTTTGTAAAAAATATTGTCTCTGAGCAATCTTGTTAATGTTTCTTTTCCTTTCTTTGCTTTTTGCTTTTCGTTTTTCGTTTTGTTTTGTTGTGTTTTTTTTTTTTTTCTTCCTCAGTTTTAACTCAATGAGTATATTGGTAGAAGGATGAGTTCACATGACACTAATAGTTAATACTTAAAAGGTTATTCTGCTTCATCTTGTACCATGGCTTAGGAAGGTGTTATTCTTTATTATGTGAAAATACCCATTTCTGAGTCTGTTATTGAACTTTTGTTTATGCACTCAGAATTGAGTTATGCTGATATTTTCTGAAAGTTGATCTGAATTATGAAGTCAACTGTGCTATTTTCGTGCATCACAATTTGTAATTAAACTTTTTACTACATTTAGGTTGAGCATGTTCGATCAGAGAGGAATTTGCTAGCGGAGGTTGATAGCCGGTGCATCGCGAAACTCTTCTATTCTTTCCAAGATTCTTATTTTTTATACCTTATCATGGAGTACCTACCTGGTGGTGATATTATGACGTTACTGATGAGAGAGGATGTTCTTTCTGAAGATGTCGCACGATTTTATATAGCAGAAAGTGTTCTAGCTATTCATTCAATTCACCACCACAACTATGTGCAAATGTATTGTAGTATTGCAATGGGTTTTGTTTTTTTGCATCTTTATTTTTTTTACCCAAACCATTCAAGTGAAATTCTATCTACTTTTTCCCTAAAAAGAGTGTCAAATTACTTTAGTGTCTATAAAGTTTTTTAGTAATGCTTGATTTAGTAATTCGTGTCTTTAGAGTGCATCATTGAATGTAATTATGCAAATTTCAATTACATATTGTTATTTATCAAACCTATTGCAAGCACCAAGAAAAACCACTTAGAAAAACCAGTAAATCTCTTAGAAAACCACTCCAATGCTGCCCATACACTAGCACAGAACTAAACTAAACCACCTTCTTCCAATAAAAGCATCTTCAACTCAAATTCAAAAACAAAAACTTTCAAACGCAGTTCAATCCTGACTAATTAGGAGAAACACTATTTCAATTTGTTATCATGTAGCCGGTTTCATATTACAAATGGTTTTAGGTAGTGATCCCCTACATTAGTGCATATTTCAGAAACATTGTGAGGAAAACAAAATCATAAATATCAGTGTTTAGATTTCTGTAGAACACTAAAAAGTATTTAGAAACATTAGTGAAATAGATTTTGGTGATCTGTTATGGTGTATGTAAACAATGTGTTCACTTACAGATATTGTAACAAGGACACATAAGGCCGTGCCCAACATCAATATTTAACAAATTAACAGAATCAAATAATTGCACATAAAGATTTCACAAAATGAAAAACAGAAGAGAGATAAAATGTAATGCCCAACCTAATGTTTAACATGAATATTTTTCTAGAATTAGAGATCACTGCTTATAGTTGTTGGATCAATAATGTTAACAGATGAACAATACATTTAAATATGCATAGTTTATCGTCGTTGATATTTTATGATTTTAGAAGTCATTCTTGGGATTGAAGAAGTTTGCTTAAAAACACTCCTTGATGCTATTTACTGCATTCTGGAATTGTCATCATTATTTGAACCAGCAAATCTGTTATAGATGCACAACATTGTTTATTCAAACCTAATTAATTACATGATATATAAAATAGATAAAGTACTTAATGTAGAAGGGCATTGGGTCTAGTGGCATGATTCTTGCTTAGGGTGCAAGAGGTCCCAAGTTCAATTCTTGGAATGCCCCTTTTTTGATTAAGTTTTTTTCTTTTTCTTTCTTTTTTTGGTTGGTCCTTGTCAGTGAAAGTGAAAGATCTATAAAAATTGCAAAATGATCTTCTTTTTTTAGCAAGAGGATTGAGAAAGGGAAGAAAAGGACACCCAAAAAAAAAATTGGATTGTCTAAACAATCTCTTTAGTTGCTGCCCAACATAGAGCAAAATTGCATGTTTCTATCATCAAGATACCAGGAATCAAGAAATGCAAGGGTGCTCTGCTCATAACCAATAGACATTACAGATGCAAGCAGAGTTGTGAATGTGTTACCATAGATATAGGTGTGTTATGAAATCAACCAGTTGAATGTAAAATAAAATAAATAAATAAATTGAAAAGGCTATCAAATTTTGAAACTCAAAATCAAAATATGAGATAGTTATACTGGGATAATTTGGAAATAAGTGTAATAGTTCACACTAACAGAGTTGTATGTATATAATAATAATATTAATAATAGTATAGATAACGAGAAACCCTTGATCCCACATTTGGCGAGACCTAGGATAAAACTCCAAATATAACCATCCATTAACCTTATATATAGAGAGGTAGGAATTCAAATTTAAGAGCTCTGATTGTTTACTTGGGGACTTACCCTTTCAAGCTAGCCCTCAGGGATGCAAGCTCTCCAACATTGGGACCGGGACTAAAGTAACATCTAACCTTATTGGATTGGCACAATTCAACTATACAGAATAAATTAAACAATCAAGTGTCTATTTCTATTTAGTTGTAGCTCCATAAAATACATACATATGGAAATACAGTTCTACTGTCTCGATAAAACAACAACACACAACTAGCAAGACATCAACAAATCAAACAAAAAAATGCTCAATTCTTATATGACATATGATCACAATCAATTACAACCAAGGAGGTGAAAACAAGCAAGCATGTGAGAGCAATGCTATATATATATATATATATAGAGAGAGAGAGAGAGAGATGTGAGAATTGGAAGGTGAAGCGATAACAATTAAGAATTGAATAGTTCAACTTGAACTTGTAGCAAATGAGGAAGGATTGATTCAAACCAAAGCTTGATTCCAGAATCAGGCTACCTGGTGGAAAAATCAATAGATTGATGAAAAAGTGATCGAATTACAGTGAGTTTAGATGAAGTTGAATACGAATTACAGTGAGTTCAGTGAGTTCAAGTGATCGAAGTAGAGAGATGAAAAAGTTGAAATACGAATGAATGATTCGAAGAGACTCATTGAGAGAGAGAGAGAGAGAGAGAGAGTGAGAGAGTTTATACCGTTGGAGATCTCTTCTTCAAATGACCATGGTGATCTATAGAGCGAAATTGAGAAAGGGAAATCAGATTCTCTTACTCAGACACGATCGAGCGAAATCAGATTTCGGGGAAATTAGAGTTTAAAAAAAAAAGGAAAATATAAATTGGGCATAGTGGATTCGCAAGTTTCTGCTTAGGCTGGGGTTCATAAGTTTTAGCTTCGGCTAATCTGCCGTTGCAAATAATTTTTTTTGCAACGGTCAAATAAGGTAGTGATCCCCTACATTAGTGCATATTTCAGAAACATTGTGAGGAAAACAAAATCATAAATATCAATGTTTACATTTCTGTAGAACACTAAAAAGTATTTAGAAACATTAGTGAAATAGATTTTGGTGATCTGTTATGGTGTATGTAAACAATGTGTTCCCTTACAGATATTGTAACAAGGACACATAAGGCCGTGCCCAACATCAATATTTAACAAATTAACAGAATCAATTAATTGCACATAAAGATTTCACAAAATGAAAAACAGAAGAGAGATAAAATGTAATGCCCAACCTAATGTTTAACATGAATATTTTTCTAGAATTAGAGATCACTGCTTATAGTTGTTGGATCAATAATGTTAACAGATGAACAATACATTTAAATATGCATAGTTTATCATCGTTGATATTTTATGATTTTAGAAGTCATTCTTGGGATTGAAGAAGTTTGCTTAAAAACACTCCTTGATGCTATTTACTGCATTCTGGAATTGTCATCATTATTTGAACCAGCAAATCTGTTATAGATGCACAACATTGTTTATTCAAACCTAATTAATTACATGATATATAAAATAGATAAAGTACTTAATGTAGAAGGGCATTTGGTCTAGTGGCATGATTCTTGCTTAGGGTGCAAGAGGTCCCAAGTTCAATTCTCGGAATGCCCCTTTTTGATTAAGTTTTTTTCTTTTTCTTTCTTTTTTGGTTGGTCCTTGTCAGTGAAAGTGAGAGATCTATAAAAACTGCAAAATGATCTTCTTTTTTTAGCAAGAGGATTGAGAAAGGGAAGAAAAGGACACCCAAAAAAAAAATTGGATTGTCTAAACAATCTCTTTAGTTGCTGCCCAACATAGAGCAAAATTGCATGTTTCTATCATCAAGATACCAGGAATCAAGAAATGCAAGGGTGCTCTGCTCATAACCAATAGACATTACAGATGCAAGCAGAGTTGTGAATGTGTTACCATAGATATAGGTGTGTTATGAAATCAACCAGTTGAATGTAAAATAAAATAAATAAATAAATTGAAAAGGCTATCAAATTTTGAAACTCAAAATCAAAATATGAGATAGTTATACTGGGATAATTTGGAAATAAGTGTAATAGTTCACACTAATAGAGTTGTATGTATATAATAATAATATTAATAATAGTATAGATAACGAGAAACCCTTGATCCCACATTTGGTGAGACCTAGGATAAAACTCCAAATATAACCATCCATTAACCTTATATATAGAGAGGTAGGAATTCAAATTTAAGAGCTCTGATTGTTTACCTGGGGACTTACCCTTTCAAGCAAGCCCTCAGGGATGCAAGCTCTCTAACATTGGGACCGGGACTAAAGTAACATCTAACCTTATTGGATTGGCACAATTCAACTATACAGAATAAATTAAACAATCAAGTGTCTATTTCTATTTAGTTGTAGCTCCATAGAATACATACATATGGAAATACAGTTCTACTGTCTCGATAAAACAACAACACACAACTAGCAAGACATCAACAAATCAAACAAAAAAAATGCTCAATTCTTATATGACATATGATCACAATCAATTACAACCAAGGAGGTGAAAACAAGCAAGCATGTGAGAGCAATGCTATATATATATATAGAGAGAGAGAGAGGGAGATGTGAGAATTGGAAGGTGAAGCGATAACAATTAAGAATTGAATAGTTCAACTTGAACTTGTAGCAAATGAGGAAGGATTGATTCAAACCAAAGCTTGATTCCAGAATCAGGCTACCTGGTGGAAAAATCAATAGATTGATGAAAAAGTGATCGAATTACAGTGAGTTTAGATGAAGTTGAATACGAATTACAGTGAGTTCAGTGAGTTCAAGTGATCGAAGTAGAGAGATGAAAAAGTTGAAATACGAATGAATGATTCGAAGAGACTCATTGAGAGAGAGAGAGAGAGAGAGAGCGAGAGAGTGAGAGAGTTTATACCGTTGGAGATCTCTTCTTCAAATGACCATGGTGATCTATAGAGCGAAATCGAGAAAGGGAAATCAGATTCTCTTACTCAGACACGATCGAGCGAAATCAGATTTGGGGGAAATTAGAGTTTAAAAAAAAAGGAAAATATAAATTGGGCATAGTGGATTCGCAAGTTTCTGCTTAGGTTGGGGTTCATAAGTTTTAGCTTCGGCTAATCTGCCGTTGCAAATAATTTTTTTTGCAACGGTCAAATAATTAGACGCAAAAAGTTATTTTTCTAGTAGTGCAAATGACATTTCTTGATCATAATCTATTGGAAATTCAATCACCCGCTTCTCTACAGCCCCCAAGTCCTTCCTTATGACCTCAGCTCTAACACAATCTGAAATGAAATTGTCGATTTGCTTAAGTTTGGCTTGTCTTTGAGAGATTTTCTTGATTCACACGTAAAATTGTGGAATTGAGGGCTTTCTTGATTCGGTTAAAAACAAGTAGGCGTCCCACATCAATACACGTTCGCACGTGTTGTAAGGAATCCAAAGGCTCTTCAATTGTCAAGTCATAAACATTTTCACAAACTGCAACATTATTAAGCACCTCTAGAAGATGACGGCCGTAACCTTTGCGCTGGTAAGGAGGCAATACAAATATCTGCCCACAATAGAAATAGAAATCTCATCAAATGCTAGAAATAACCGCATCTTTTTTTTGGAATGAGCTAAAAAAAACTACAATTTTTTTGAAACTTTTTAAAAAAAATTTCTCAATTTTTTTTACTTTTCAAATCTGTCTAGTCTAGAATGATTTAAAAGGTCAAAATAACAACAAAAAAAAAAAGGTTAACTAAAGTAAAAAAAAAGTCAACTTCTTTCAAATAAATTTAAAATTTTAATTTTTTACTTTTCAAGTCTGTCTAATTCAGTAGAACCTAAAGTGTAAGGCTTCTTGAAACGTTTTACTATAAAATTCACTAAAGACGAAAAAAAGCCAACAAAAAAGTTTCTAAAAAAGCAATTCTCAAACTCCACTGACATACAAAATCAAAGATATCAAACACGCATCTTAGAACCACCAAATCCAGGTTCTGTTTAATTCAAGCTAACAAGTTATTAATGTAAAAAAGTGTAAACCTGACTAAGCCGCAAGCGCAAACTGTCGGGGTAATGGTAAAAACGATAAATCACTGCAAAACCAAGCAATCTAAGTTGATTGCCGCCCTGCAGATCAATTTTCTTCTGAACTATGAGAAGAATCTCGCATCTTGGATCAATAATGTCAATAGGATTGCTACGTGATTCAATGATATGAATGGTTAAAAATTGCAGCTCAG